TTTAAGACTGGGCTAATAGTGTAGGACTTGACTTTGTAAGCTCTGATGTATATTCTACTTATGCTTGTGCTCGATTGTACACTTTATGCTAAGAAGAGGCAGTGTCAAACCATGCAAAACAAGGGCAAACAATAAGCAGCACAATTTGAAAGTAACTTATTATTAGTCCTTGGTTGAGGATAAAAAACAATACAAAACACTGTTTTTTAGTTATACCCTAAATGAAGACATGTATCTGTTTTATTATGGGTTTTATTTCATTAGGAGTATATCTAAAAATAGCTTGCTGTTAACTTGCCTTCTGCCTTTAAGATCTCCCCTTCTTCCTCAGTCCAGGCTTTCTATGACTGCCCAATCACAGACTTCCCAATGCCTTCTGCCTTTAAGATCTCCCCTTCTTCCTCAGTCCAGGCTTTCTATGACTGCCCAATCACAGACTTCCCAATGCCTTCTGCCTTTAAGATCTCCCCTTCTTCCTCAGTCCAGGCTTTCTATGACTGCCCAATCACAGACTTCCCAATGCCTTCTGCCTTTAAGATCTCCCCTTCTTCCTCAGTCCAGGCTTTCTATGACTGCCCAATCACAGACTTCCCAATGCCTTCTGCCTTTAAGATCTCCCCTTCTTCCTCAGCCCAGGCTTTCTATGACTGCCCAATCACAGACTTCCCAATGTAGCTCAATGAGAAGTCTTTGCAAGGCAGGTGCTCTGAGCAATTGTCTACCTCTTGAATTTAGCTCCACTGAGCTAAACAACTAGGAAGTAAAAGGGTCTGCTGTCTGCTTTAAAGCCAGGGGGTGTAACAAGGTTAATTAATCAATGTGCCAATTTCCATTGAAATCAGCCCTTTTTCCAAAATAAAAAAAGAGGACACATTGTTCACATATAAAGCATTTCATCAAGCTAATAAGGCAGTGTGGTATCTTGAGTGTCCCTTTAACATGTTAATTGATTGGAAACAGTCTGCAAGTAGACTAAGAATACAGATATGCCAAGGTCAGGAATAACAGAATAATACAGAGAAAAGAAATATGCCATGGTCAAGGATCGCTGAAGTCAGAATAAACGGAAATTGAGTTTATTTAGCCTAAAAGGACTCTGCTTAGTCGGCGTAAAATTTTGATGCCTGAAAGTGTGCGACCTGTGTTACCACAATGATGCCACCACCAATGGCTCTGAAAAAAGCATGCAAGTAAGAATTACTATAATAATTAACATGAGTATTGCAGTCCGAGTCAAAAAATGCACCAAAATGATCTCGGGAGTCAACATGAGTACCACAGCGGCATCCAAACCGGCGTTTTTTACATTTGATTAGATAGCAGCAGTCAGTGAAATTTACCAAGTTGTTTGGAAACAAGTCAGTTGTAGCACTTATCTTCTTTTATTCTTCATGGGAGATGTTAAAAGTATTAGCAGCCTGGAATTACGCTACTGGTAGAACTTTTCAGAAAGGCCAGTAATACTTACAGACAATATTGTAAATAAGCCCTCAGTTATAATCCTACAAGTAAATGTAAACATAAAATGTATAATGTATTGAACAAAGCAAGAGTGGACTAAAGAAGAGTATGGTTTTACATGCAGGTGGTCCTCATTTTGTGACCTACCTGTTTTACGACGGTTCGCACTTACAACCAGCTATCTCGCGGGGTGATAAATGCGAGCTGTCGTGGGAATTAGAGGGATTCCTTAATCTGATGCGTTCATCTCTGTTCGGGGACTTTTCCCCGAACATAGAAAAGCGCACCAAAGCAGGGAATCCCTTAACTCCTCACTTACCAACCAATTCATTCTACGACGTAGAAAGGAACCCGGTCGGTGAGTGAAGAGTACCTGTATAAGAAATCACCTGTTCTTCCTATATTACCATCTGCTAAAAAATAATGATGATAATGATGATAGGCAACATTCCACTAGTTATGCCATTGTACCTGTTTTTTACTGTTTCACAAGCAGGATTATTCACTAAAGTGAGACTTGCCAGAAATGAAACATGATTTTAAAAGTTTAGGCCAAAATAACAGATTTCTCCAAGTCAATTCTGTGCTTAGTTTAGCTATTTTGGCCTTACATTTGAAATTCACTTTGAATTCCCAGCAATTTTCACTTTATTGAATACCCCTGAAGAGGAGTAACTAGAATTTCATTAAAGGACACGGAGGCTCCTATTATGCTTATTCTCTTTCTTTATTCCTCAGCAGCAAAAGAGAGAGATACTGTAAATATTCAACAAAATTTAAATAATAACACAATTTACCCCAAAGGGTTAACCATAAATAACCTATTAACCAATAAGAGTGTTCCCAGCATAATAGAGTCCCATGTGACCTTAAGCCACTCCTCTTTATTTTGCTGCTGGGCGTAAAGCCGCAAAAACGTCTCACCACCTGGACGACAATGCCTCCAAAACATTACAGAGGGACAGGGTATGTCCTGTCACAGATCCCCCCGCCGGGCAAAATCGTCGAGGAACTGGAAAAGGGCTAGAGCCCTCATTGAATCCTCCGAAACAGAGGCACAGAGCGAGTCCGATGAGGAGGACTCTGATGATCCCAGCACTTATTTTCCATAACACAGTTCCTTGACAGGTGCTGGAACAGACCCCAAAGATGGAGTGGACGAGTCCGCTCTGGTTGACCCGCAGGTATAGATGTCGCGAACTGTCCGCCGAACAATAGCGTGTTCGCGTTGGGTGAACATATCCGATTTCCGGTCCGCCCCCTATACGTCATCATTGAGTAAACTTTGACCCGGAAACTCACAGCCAGCAGACACATTCCACCCAATCAGCAGCAGACCCTCCCTCCCAGGAAGTGTCTGCTGACTGTGAGGTTCCGGGTCAAAGTTTACTCAATGATGACGTATAGGGGGCGGACAGGAAATCGGATATGTTCGCCCAACGCGAACACGCTATTGTTCGCCGGCGGACAGTTCGCCAACAGTTCGGCGGACAGTTCGCAACATCTCTACCCGCAGGGCGAACCACTGTTTGACCCCGACACCTTACAACACCCGAGATCCTCGGAGTGGTATCCCCTAGAACACGTAGAGAAATATATTGCTGCTCGTATTAGAAAACCACTTGACAAGGTGGCACGAAGCAAACTCCGGGCAGAATGCCCACGGCCCACTATTCCCGATATGGCATGCGCCACCCCTGACGTAGACCCAAAGATTGCTCAATTCTTGGGGAAGTTGGGTTGGAAAGCCAAAAAAGGCCTGGATTTTTCCTGGTTGAATTGCCAGGATAAGTCCTGGATGTTCTAGGACCAATTGCAAAAATGTTCGACATGGTCAAAATCGCACTGACAGGTGGTTCACCTGGGGATTTAGAAGCCCTCAGGGGGTGGATCCAGTGAGCCGTATGTCTGCTGGGCAATGCCAGTATGGCGGTAGCCACTGAAAGGCGCAAGGCAATCCTGATAAAAATAGAGCACAAGCTAGTGAACCTAGCTATTTCAGAGCCTGGACCCCAGGCAAAAGCCCTCCTGTTTGGAGATAGTTTTGTTAAGGAGCTAGGCACATATGTAGGCACCTTTACAGCACTTGATAAAGCTCAAGCCAACATGAAACGAGTGTTCCACTAGAGAGTTTTTGGCGGGGCCAGCAGATATCGGGGCCGTCTGCCCGGCCGATCACCCCGGGGTTCATCGAGGCCCCGTACAGTCCATGCTTACAACACCTGAGTCCAGAACTACCACACCGTTCTTCCCAGTCCGGGGCAGACCATGGCAGTCTCTAGGACCCAGAGGTTCTTCCTATGGCCGACAACCTCATGGTAAGTCTAATGCCTTGGAATCTGGCCTCATTAACTATGGTGGGGGGCAGACTGTGTCACTTTATCAGCGCATGGCGCATGCTCACTGCAGATGCATGGATCCTTCACACTGTTCAAGGTTACTTTATAGATTTTGTACAATACCCTGTTTAAATGCAGGCTCCCAACCGCATGGTGTTCCCCACCCACGACCAATACCAGATATCTCAAGAAGTCCAGCCTCCAATGGTGCAATTTTAGAAGTTCACCCTCTCACACCAAGTTTCTTAAGCAACCTCTTCCTGGTCCCCAAAAAACGCAGAGGCACCCGTCCAGTTATCAACCTATGACCCCTAAACATGTTTGTCAAATACCATCACTTCAAGATGGAAGGTATACACTCTGTCAGAGATCTCCTACTACAGGGGACTGGATGGTCAAACTCGACTTGAAGGACGCGTACCTCATGGCCGACGAATGCCAAAACTTCCTACAGTTCCAATGGGAAGAGACCTTATGGCGATTCAAATGCCCACCCTTCAGCCTATCATCGGCACCATGGTGCTTCACAAAGCTCCTGAAACCAGTGGTCGCCCTCCTTCGCAGCAGAGCAGTTCGACTCATAATATACTTGGACGATATCCTCATAATACTACTACTACCGCAACTAGCAAAAGATTTCTGGCAATTCTGTCTGGACCGCAACATCTCCGTACAAGCAGAGTACATTCCGGGGATGTCTAACGTAGTGGTGGATTGGAATTCCAGACACCTACGAGATGCCAGCGACTGGCGACTGAATCCTGTCGTCTTCAGCCATTTACAATCACTTTGGGGCCCCTTGGACATCGATCTGTTCGCATCACGCTTGAACACACCTTTGCCGAAGTTTTTCAGCTGGAGACCGGATCCCAGCCACTACGCCTTCCCTCCTTTCTCCCTCATTGCACGAACTCTACTGTATCTCAGACGTCACCGAACCTCCTTGATCCTCATAGCCCCCCTTTTGGACGTCTCAGCCCTGGTTCCCTACGCTCATGGAAATAGACCATAGACCTCCCGAGGTTACTGCTGGTGACATCCAACCTCGTACTGGATTCCGACAGGAACTTACATCCCCTTCTACTTCAGGGACATCTCAAGCTCTTGGCATGGCTCCTCTCAGGGGACCCTGCTACATCCCAAATGTTCCACAAGCAACTCTAGACCTCCTGGCAGGTGCTTGTGCCCCAGGAACGCATGGAATAGTTGGGGCATGGAACAACACGTGGATCCCATATCTGCAAATGTGAGTCAGGTTCTAAGTTTCCTTACTTCACTCTTCGACCATGGCCTGGCATATCGTGAATCAACCTCTATAGATCAGCTATTTCGGCAGGCCATCAAGGCTGGAATGGACGTCAGGCAGGAAAGCACCCAGTGGTATGTCGACTTCTACATGGCATCAAGTTTGCACGCCCACCAAGACCTAAATATACAGCCTTGTGGTATGTTGGCCTAGTTCTCCGACTTTTTGAAAATTGGCCAAAGAATGAGGACCTTTCGATCAAGCAGCTCACGTCTAAATTGGTTACGCTGTTATGTCTAATCTCCTGTAAATGTGTCTCGGATGTCTGATGCCTCACGGCACACTCATTTACACCAGAAGGCGTCTCCTTCGACATATCGAGATGTAGAAAGACATCCATTACATCAATCTTCTACCCAGCTTTTCCAAAAGAATATGAAATAAGGAACACCTCAATTCGTGATTCCCAGTATCCGGATCTGTTTCTGGCACTCCGACAACCTCATCATCCGGTTTCTACAGTTACCATATCTCGCTGGGTTAAATGGATCATGGAGTTGGCTGGCATTGATACCTCCACGTATGGATCCTGAGGGGTGCTATGGCATCAAAAGCCTTTTCTCTCGGTTGTAGACTAGAAGACCTCCTCCGTGCAGCTGATTGGTCCAGCGAATCTACGTTCCGGAAATTTTATTTCAGACCAATTTCTCCTTTTTCCACTTCAGTGATCACGCAGCTTTGAACTAGCATAATAGGAGCCTCCGTTTCCTTTAATAAAATTACCAGATTTGACTAATTTCATGACGTAAACTCATGATTTTATAAAGGACACGGAGGCGAGTATTATCCCGCCCAATCCAGGTAAGTTGCGCCCTCCCTGTGAATAGACTGTCGTGTAATAATGTGATTTTGTTTTTCACCTGATGACTAGTACTGAACTGACAGATTGGTTTCTGGTACCTAAGGTCGTAATATAATATGGAAACAATATCCAAGAACGTATTTTACCATTTCATTTCTTGTCGTACAGCCTCCTAATTGGTTTGTCATTCTGGTCCATGCCTGCCCATGAAAGTTTCAATCAGAAGGCTGCCAGTTTTATTTGGAGCTCCATTGCCTGAATTTCCCTGGGACTCACGGTTCTGCACATCCAATGGTTACATCATTTCTGTTTGAGGAAGTGTTCATCAACAACATCAAAATAAAAAGGAGTGGCTTAAGGTCACATGGGACTCTATTATGCTGGGAACACTCTCATTGGTTAATAGGTTATTTATGGTTAACCCTTTGGGGTAAATTATGTTATTATTTACATTTTGTTGAATATTTACAGTATCTCTCTTGCTGCTGAGGAATAAAGAAAGAAAATAAGCATAATACTCGTCTCCGTGTCCTTTATAAAATCATGACTTTACGTCATGAAATTAGTAAAATCTGGTAATTCTCAACTTCTAGACTACATGTTGATGGGTTGTAAATAGTATAACAATTTTATAACATGACAGGAGGCTTCCTATTTTGCATTAACTCTCTTTACTAAACTCCACAGCAGTAAAGAAAAACGTAAAGAGTAACATTAAATCACTGAGCAGCATAGTATATATAAGGGTCATGCTGCCTGTACACTTTCTCTTTCTTTACTGCTCCATGGCAGACAGGTCAGACTATTTGGCTCCTCCAGAGGTTTATTCATTTATTATTATTAGTCTGTTTATTTTAATTTCCATTATATATGTACTTGTATTATTCTTGTTATTTGCTATTATTATTTCCATTTTCCATCTCACTCTGGGCCCTTAAGGGTTCTTTTCCTCCCTTTCTCTGCCCCTCTACTGGCCCTGGGACTCCCTGGGCTTCCCCCTTTGGCTTCCCTCAGTTCCCCCTCGCCCTACTACCTTGGAGTGCCCTCCTGGGCTCCCTCCTTGCGGCCGGAATCGATCTCGACCTTTTCCGCGCCGGCCTGATTCCGCCCGCAGCCGGCCTCAAATTTAGTCCCCGGCTTGCGGCCTACACTCGCGGCCGCCATTTTGGATCGCGGATACCGCAAGATTCAGCGGCCATCTTGTTTTACCGCGTGGATCTCATTGGGGACTCAGTGGTTGCAGTCTTAGCTGTCTGCCACCTGTATTATTCTGGATTTACTCCCTACTGTGATTTTCTCCCTGTGAGTGCCAAGGATTAGCTACTCAGCCTCTCACCTTCCTCACAAGACCTCCTACTCTGCATTCCTGTGCCTCTGTCTACTACAACCAAGCTAAAGACATCCTATACTCTGTGGCTGGGTCAGTCAGGTCAGTGCTGCTGCCTGTTTAATATTGTGACCTGCACTTAAGGGTACCAACCCTGTGCAACCGGGGTGAGCCCCCACTATAAGTACCTTAGTACCACGCTGCTTATTGGGAGACTAGCTGTTGCAGTTCTCTTTAACTGGGTGAGCCCCAGTTTTATAAGGTCACCAACTATACCCTGCTGGGGTTTATAACTGAGTGGTATTGTTACCCACCACAACCACCATGTCAACTGACCCTACGCCTATACATAAGACCTGGGTGCCCCTATTTAATACTGTGCCTATTAGTGACGTGTATCACAGCCTACCCTTGTCATGGAAGACTCCCAGAACGTCCCTGTGGACTTCCAAGCTATGATCAATGCAGCTGTCAATGCCTCTGTGGAGAAGGCACTCTCCAAGGTACGTGCTACAGCTCCAGACGTACCCAAGCCTACCCGCAGGCGACCACGCCACGAGTCGGATTCTGATATGTCCGACTATCAGACCAGGGATGACCCCCGCCCTAAGAAACGCCACGACAAAGGCAAAGACTATGCACCCAAGCCACTCAAGGGTAAGGCACCTGTCAAACGCAAATCTGCCAAAGCAAGTACCCCGGCCCTGCGTCAGGATTACTCTTCGGACGAAGAGCAAGGTCCTTCCCATTCCATGTCAGTGCTAGACGAATGGCAAGCTGACGTTTCTGACTCAGACTACGACGCTTGGGGTTCGGATGAGAAATCTGTCTCCGCTTTCATGCGGGAGACCCTCCTGGGTGCGGCCCAGACAGGGGGTAATGAGGACACTGTGGGCGCAGAGCCTCCTCTTGACTCGGACACCATTTTAGACCCTTCGGGTCAGGCGATGTTCGATCCCCGCAACATACGACACCCCAGATCGGGAGACTGGTCACCGCCAGAACACCTCTCCAGGTTCATGCACCTATGGCTCCGCAAGCCTCTAGAGAAAGAGGTCCGCAGCTTAAATCAGAATGCCCACGCCCTTTCCTGCCGGATTAAGTGGCTCAGACTCCTGAGTTTGACAAGGTCATGACGACCTTCATGATGCGCAGTGGAAGAGACCCTCGCCGAGGGGTAGAGAAAGGCCTATGGGGCACTCAGGATAACCTGCTGGATTCCGTTGGCCCTCTGGCCCGCATCATGTACTTGGCAGATGACGCCTATACCAAAGCCGATTCCTTTTCTGCCGAAGACATCAGGGAATGGGCACACGATGTTCGCGAGTGGGCACAACGGTGCTTTTGTTTAATTGGAAACACAAATGTTATGCTCTCTTCGGAGAGACGGAAAGCAGCGTTATACCGTGTTAACGGTAAATTGGCAGAGCTTGGCACAAAGGAGATTGGGCCCCAGGCACAAGGGAAACTGTTTGGTGAACCGTTCCTCAAGGAACTTAACAAACACGTGAACGTGTTCACCTCACTTAATAAAGCACAGTCCTCAATGCGCAGAGTCTTCCGAAGCAACCCCACCAGAGGGGTTTTTGGAAGGGCAAGCTGGCAACGGGGCCATGCCGCCAGCCGATTCTGGCCTTCAGGCCCCCGCACCCAACCAACACCGTTTTACCCAACGAGAGGTTACAGGCAACAGCCTTTCTCCAGAGGCTCGGACAGAGGCCGTGGACCCCGCGGACGCGGACATTCCCACTTTGCTACAGGTAAGCACCCGTATTCCTCCATTGTTACCATGCTCTGCGGGCCGTATTTCCCTTTCTTTCCAGAATTGGGCCGATCCTACAAACAGTACAGGGATATATCATAGACCTAGTGGGGACCCCCATTCAGACACAACCTCCTCGCCCCATCCACATGTTGTCTTCCGACCACTATCTCGTCAATGCAGAACTACGCGAGCTTCGAGACAAAGGGGCTATCCAGCCGGCCCATGACTGGGGAGGTTACTTCAGCAATATCTTCCTGGTTCGGAAAAAGACGGGAGAATACCGTCCTGTCATCAATCTACGCGACCTCAACGCGTACATGGTGTACCGCCACTTCAAGATGGAGGGCATCCACCTTCTGCGAGACCTCCTGCGAAACAACGACTGGTTCACCAGATTCGATCTAAAAGATGCATATCTGTCAGTCCCAGTGCATCCAGACTGTCGAGCCCTTCTATGTTTCCTCTGGCACGACCGTCCTTGGCAATTCACCTGCCTCCCTTTCGGGCTCAGCTCGGCCCCATGGTGTTTCATCAAACTCCTGAAACCAGTAGTGGCCCACCTGAGATACAGGGGCATCCGATGCATCATCTACCTGGACGACCTCCTCCTCTTCTGCTCCGACGAACGCAGACTGCGGCAACACACTCATCTCGCAGTAACACTACTGGAATCTCTGGGCTTTGTGGTAAACCAACAGAAATCGGAATTGACCACTTCCCAGACGCTACAATTCCTGGGCTTTGAGATCGACTCGACAACATGCACTCTGAGACTACCAGCCTCAAAGATCTCGTCTATTCGCAAGGAGATTCGCAGAGTTCTCCGTCGCGATTCCATCCCACTACGCAACCTGGCCAGGATCGTAGGACTCCTCTCCGCCTCCATTCAAGCCATATTTCCGGGCCCCCTTCACTACAGAGCCATGCAACACCTCAAGGCATGATACCTACGCCGCAGGCCCACGTACGATCAACCCGTCCCAGTGACGGCGGAGGTTCGCGAGGAACTATCATGGTGGCTGGACAGCATGCAAGCCTGGAATGGCAGGGCCATATTCGGAGATACCCCAGACTTCATACTGGAGTCAGACGCCAGCTTGTGGGTCTGGGGTGCCACCAACGGAACCACCTCCACGGGAGGAACATGGACGGCACAGAAGCTCTCCATGCACATAAATTGCCTAGAACTCCTGGCGGGGTCTTTCGCGATCCGCAGCCTGGCCCAGGAAAGATC